GCTAAACGTGCACACAGAAATAGTAATGTTTGTTCAATCATTGTGTTTATAGACTTTACAAACATCGGATTAGTCCAAACGGTGATACAGTGATGTGAAAAATGTGATATATAGGCTATATATATAGCTAAAAGCTCTGCTGGTTTTCTACCCGGAAGTATTTGTAAACAACAAGGCGATTCCCTCTATATTCCGGCCGGAGGGATGCGTCATGGCCTTGTAAAAGATTATGTTTGTTTCTTTTAGTTGGCGAGAATGTGTCGCTGCAAACGCAACAAACATCCACTGAACTTTGACGGCGTTTTCTGCAAGCACGGCTGAGCCATTTTGTACCGCTACATGTGTTTCTAGTGGGACTATGTTTACAAGCACAAGAGTTCAGCGAGCCACCGAAGGACTGCCCTGCAGATTTACTATTGGTTCTGCAACGTAGGGAGTTTTTTTTAAACTCTGAAATTGTATCCACCCATCTAAACACAAAATCAGGGAGAAAGTCATCAGTCTTTAGTTAAGCAAAACGTCTAAAGACTGACTTGTGAGTCTACCTAAATAAAGGTTTCTGTTAGATCTATCAGGAAACAAAAAATAAAGTTGGTCAAACCTTGTAAATTGAGCTTTAACGCAGCCTTTGAATGCCTCATTAAGCTAACGTGAACTGAAGGTGACATTGAGGTTGTATTGGTAAACAACGCTTTGATAAAGGCTGGGTTAAAAAAAACTCTGAACTCAGCCTTGTTGATGTCAGTCACAGGCTCATGTTGTGACTGTGTACTGGATTTCTTCCCACTGGTCTGCTGAGCCGACAAAAACAACCACCTTCCTTCAGGTGGAGGTGTCTGCCGACTGCCTGTAGGGGCTGCACCTCAGCCATCTCAGGTGGCCTGGAAACCCCCCATCTGCCCCTGCAACACACACTGAAGGCAACAGTTTTATTTTTGGAGTGGCCACGGGCACGGTGGCTCGCTCCCTAAGGCTTCAGTTCACTTCAGGATGAGTGGCCCTGTGGCACTCTGAGCCGGGATTAACAGAGCAGAGAGCAGTTTGTCCCAACAGCCGCTCGCCCAAGGTAAACCAGTCAAACTCAGTGTCTGTTGATTGACAAGCTGGTGGTACAGCAGAGTGGTCCTGACCTGTCGGCCTGGCGCTAACCTGCAAATGCTGCATAGGATTTGATAGAGGCACGTGCACGATCTGAAATCTTAAACGCATGATGCATATCAGACATTGAGAGGCAGAGCTTGCAGAGCAGTGTTTACCATGTTGAATGTTTCTGCACAGTTTGGTGCCATGACAGATACATGTAAGCATGAGTCAGTGATTAACAAATCCTGCACACCAGCACATTGATTATACCTTTTTTTTATTCTTGGCCTGTTTATTTAATATTAATTGTAAATGAATGAATTGTCCTTGTAGCTCCCTTCTTACACTGACTGTTTGGTTTGCAGGCTGTCCAGCACAACACGAGCAACACCTAGTTCCACCTCAGGTAAGTGTTGCTCAGATTCACAGGTTAACAGCTTAATGATTAATTAAGAGCTTGTCCTCCATTTTGTTTCATATTGCGCTCTTTAAAGCTAGATAGATTGAGGTCATGGCACAGTTTTATCACAAAGCTAATCTTATACTTTCCTCTTTTGAGCTGCTGAAGTGGAAGCCTCCCAGATATCCAACCCCAGAGCCTTAAAAGGGGGACTTCTCATGTGTCAGCTGCCCTCCTTGTCACTGCGACTGCAGGAGTCGCTTTGACAACAAGGATTTGTGTTTAACATTTGCTCAAAACCAGTCAAACATCTAAGAGTGTTTAAATTTCAGGACATCTCACAGGAGGTATTTCTATGCTGCAGTCACTTTAGATATTCAAACAGAGATTTTCAGACTTGCAGAAAATATTCCGTTGGATATAATTCCACTGCTTCTCTCAGACCAAACTGATGATAGCATGACATATATAAAAATTTATGATAATCATCGCCCCGAAACACGAAGCTAAGCTCTCAGTCAGCGCAGCTCTGGGAGGATTTGGGCGCAGATTGATTTCCAGCGGACTGAGGCTGTTTGTGTGAGTACAGGACAGCAGGCAGCAGGTGCTGGGTGTCAGGATGTTTGCTCTTATTTCCCTCGGGCTAAAATTAGACCGTGGACCTTTTCTAGTGTCACCCCAAAGCGCCACTCCAATATTCAGACAGAAAGGGAACAATTTAGCTCATGTCGCGCCTCGAGACAACTACGTAAAAGTTTATTACATAGTGGACAAATGCCCCTTGTAAAATGTCAGTCACATTTAAATGTTAATGATGGTTTGAGATATTGTGTTAGTTTTCATACAATATGTCCAGTTCAGACTGGAAAACTTAACATGTTTGTCTTATATGATCCTGGGTGCATGTCACATTTATGGTCAGCTAATTATGCTTCTGACCTTTGACCTTTGTCTTATTGTTAGCTTGTAATGCTAATGTCCCAGGAATTTGGATCTGGTTTACTGCTTCTCACGTTTTAAGTTTCTTTGCATATGAACAGTAGCTAAATGCTGCCACCCCTCCTCTCTGCCTGAACCTGCTCACCCTCCTGTATGTGTCAGTCATCTCCCTTTGGGTTTACTTTTATTTCCTCCAGAGGTCATTTTTAAATCTGACAGTCTCCTTGACAGACTATTTTCATAAGTAGTTTGTCATCATTTCAAAGCAGCCTCGCTATAAGCAACAGCTTTACGTGCCTTTCTATTTCCAAGAGTGACGCTTCTTGTAGCCATGCAGCATCTTCAGGACCCAATTAAGAATTTTGAAACCTGCTAATGAGCCCATTGTCATGAGAGCTCATAGTTTTCCAAAGCCAGCTGCAGACTTGTCTCGGAGCTATTAGCACGGGTTAAATCAGTGCAGTTGGGAAGCAGCTGAATACACTAAACCAAGGACACGGTGGAAGACAGTGAGCTCGCCTTCACGGTAAACAACAAACAAAAACAAAACTCTCTAACAGCTAAAGCACTGAGAAACCAAACATCAGGAATGTGTTTAATTGAAGTTATTTCATCGTATTAAAAGATTTACCACAGCTGAGATTATTATTCACAGGATACAATGAATACCTGCCAAGTATAAACAGAACAAAAGACTATTTGCTTCACTACCTTTTGTAAAATAATAACCAAAATGTCAACAAGAAATTTGTCATTACAACAGGATTAAAGGACATTTCCTGCCTGAAGCTTAAAGTACAGAAAATGTTGAAGTTGTAGAAAGATATTTTTTTTTCAGAATCCAAAATTTAATGTCCAGCATGTTTCACAAATCTTCATAGAACTGTCCAGCTGAAAAGAAAGGAAAACAACTTATTATGAATATGTATTTCCATCACGTACACACAATTAAATTCCTAAATCAAATTTCTATTATAGCCATAACTAATAACAACAAGTAGAGAATGCAATTTCTGATGAAATTGCAGGTGTGAATGCTCAAGCTGAATAGCTGACGCTATACTGCAGTGCTCCCTTGAAAAGCTGCCATGCGTGTATGAATAATGAGGAATATTTGAAGGTTGTTTGAAAAGCTTGCACTACACTGCAATGCTTGCTTTAATGTGCATAAATGTCGATGAATAGTTGAATGAGACCAGTACTGTGGAATATGTCAAGGTTTTTTAAAAAGCTGATGCTACACTGCAATGCTCGCTTTAAATGTTGAATACTATTAATACTATTAATGTATGAATAATGTGGAATATTTTAGATTGTTTGAAAAGCTTACGCTACACTGCAATGCTGACTGAAATGTGTAAGAAGAAGGTGAAGTAGTAGGAATAGTCAGTCAACAAGTCACAAGCAACAAGACCCTCAGTGATTATTTGGCCAGCTGCTGAAATGTCTGGCATTAAAAATGTACTTTCTGGTCTGACTCTGTATTGGAACAGAGTTCTAACGTCTTGTGAAGGGTGTTTGCACGGCTGGAATGTGGTCTCAGTAAAATAAAAAATGCAAATCTCCTTCAAAAACAATCCAAGGCAAACTGTAAAATTAAAACTATGCAAAATTAAAATGCCTTTATTTTACATGGCAGTATATATTTAAAATGACCAACGCATTTTCACCAACACAGGTCTTCATCAGGGTCATTGTCAGCAGTGGCCACTACAGTGTGCCTTGGATTATTTTTTAAGAAGCTTGCATTTTATATTTTTAATGAGACCATATTACACCAACGCAAAGACCCCTTCACAATATGGAATGAGCACCGTACACCTGAAGTATTCAAACAGCACCTGTATGTGATCAACACAAAGACAGAGCAGCGCTTTTCATTGTCTTTAAAACTCTTAAACATTTCCAACTGCTTAGTGACTGAGGACATCACACCATGCAAACTGCATTTCATCAAATTTCTGCTGATGTCTTAATAATCTATTTTCAAAGCCATAAAACCAAATGCCAAAACAGCAATGTGATGTGTAACGTCCTCCTTTAGGTTGAGCGTGGCTCTGCTTTTTATGGGAAACTTTGACTCATTATTAGTATTGACTACAAATGATGTTAGAAGCATTTGTTTTGTTATCAAGCAAATATGATAAAACCAACTTTTAATGATTTTTTTTTTTTTGATGACTAATTTGAGTTCTTTGCTTCTACTTTGCTGTTATTATACAAGTAGATTTTTGGCTTAAGATACAAAAACCGATGTGTCCGTCTGTCTTGCAGGAGTCTGAAAATGCTGATGGAAGCTGGTTACACTAATGGGCTGGAGCCTGACCTTTCCCAGCAGTATCCTCCGCCCTTACTGCCAAAACCAGGCAAAGACAACGCGAGGCTTCAGAAACTCAAGAAGAAAAGAGCCAAGAAAAAAGGCAGCCTCTCTCAGACGCCCGTCCCCTTTCGCTCCTGTTTGTCGCCTGTCAATGAAGCAAGCACAGACCTCGAGCACAGTGACCAGTCCAGCCCACCAAAAACACCCGATTCAGTCTATGTTGCAGACCCATCAGTGTCCGGTTTCCCGTTTGACTCCCTTTACAATCACTCTGCATCTGCATTCCCTCATCCTCGGAGCAACCCCCCTTCCCAAACTGGCAGCTTCCCCCCTCAGTCCTACGTAAATCAGATCAAGACTTCTGATGAGCAGGTGGCTCCGCTGTATGAGTGCTCCTCTTTTTTATTTGATGACGTGACTCCTTCCATGATGCCACCTTCGGCTTCACCACCCCCATCATCACCTGAGCAAGTTCCAGCACCACCTCTTCCTTTTACGATCAATTCAAACATGACACCAAATTCCCATGGGTCAGTCACAACAATCCCTCCAGTTGGTGTGTCGAACGCCAGCACTAAAATATCAACTCACAGCCTGACCCTATCCCCAGCCGCCCCAAACTGTGGCCCAGGCCTGGCACTTTCTCAGGTTGCAGACCTACCTCCTCTTCCAGCGCTGCTATCAGTTTCAAACACTCAGACACAACCTTTTATTCCCAGCCAGAGGGAGACAAACGGCAGTTTAAAGGACAACCCTCAGAGCCAGACTGCATCTTGGACTGCCAGACCTATCAGTAATGGCAATTTTGTTCCAAGCCAAACGTCCCCTGAGATCACCGCCTCAAAAATATCACTTGTTGAAGCAGTGAAAGAGATAAGGCCTGACACCCTACAAAGCAGGATTTACACATCAAAGGCAACATTTTATGAAATCTCTAAACCTCCTTCTATCCAGGACCTCTCAGCAATAAACCCAGCCTACCAGGAAGCATTGTTGTCTGACATATACAGAAAGAAAACAGCTGTAACAGTGCTGAAAACTGATCAGAAACTTAATGTGTCCAAGACCCCATGCGGAAGACCTAAGACTCCCTCTTGTACACCAGCTCGAGTATCCACACCCTTTATTGAAATTTCCAAACCTAACCCACTTTTATTTGCTGCTTTCAACTCTTCCAAAAGTCTCCAAGATCCTGCAGTTCCCAACGAGCCTCCAAGACACAAACCAGTGATTCAAACTAGCGCCATGAGTAAACCTCCAGCTGCCACAGAAGAACTGAAGCAGACTGATAATAACCACATTACTTCAATCAAACAATCCAGCAATTACAAAGACATAGAGATCCAAAATACACAAAGGAGTGCAATAAATCTAAGCTTTGCCAATACTGAGCTGTACCCCATAGAGAACTTAGCATCAAGTATGACTTCACCTGACTCTGCTGTGGTCAAACCAACACTAATAGAACCAGTCACCCCACAACTAATAAAAGACCAAGTTTCTGAAAGTGAAGCTTCACCTTTGCCAAAGGTTCCATCATTCTCCACTGCACCAAAGACTTCAAATCTTAACTCCATGCCAGTGACTTCAGTGCAAGCTCGACCAAGTCCAAGTCCACTAATGTCCCCTTATCGTCCTCCAGTGGTTGATGCAAGAAAGTCTTTGTCGTCACTACTGGAGAGTCAAATGTCATTAGGGACCTCAAAGCCCAAATCACGATCAACATATTATGGGCTTACTCCAACTGAGTATGCTGCCTACGGTGGGATCAGGACTATTGCATCACATCACAGCCCTGAACCCCCCAGGGTTAATGAAACCTCTTCAAACAAAACACAGTCAGATGTCGATGTAGATGGATCACACATCTCAAAGTCTGATGCAACAAAACAACTCAATGGAAATCAAGATCTTCCGTCTTCTATGCAGGTTTCTGAGCTTCCAGCTGAACGGATCGTCACACATGGCAAAGAGGCATTTGAGGAAAGTCAGTCTGAAGCTCAAAGTATTGGAATACAGTCACTTAAAACATCTAGCGTGGACACAATAAAACCTGAGCTTCCCCTTGGCTTGGCACAGAAATCAATTCAACAATCTACAAGTGATCCATCCACACCAAAAGCCTCATACTCTGAGGCTCCAATACCAATGCTTAAAGCAGGTGAGGTACCCACACAAAGAGCGGCAGTATTTTCTATAGACGCAGTGCTAAATACGACTCCATGTCTTATTGATAGCAATGATCTGTCGAGTTCTTCCTTACCCTTAGTGAAAGTAGATTCAAATGCAGAAACAAAGCATAGTGGAAAAGGGATAGATGTTGCAGAGAAAGGTGGTAATCTTGAGAAAACACCTACAAAAGGAGAATCCAAAGTCAGAAACGCAAAACAACAGTCAGGACAAGTAGAGACAGCTCTGGTCCAGTCTTATCAAACTGCTGGTGGAGTCAGTCCATCAACAGCCAATGGTTTCAGTGCCCCCGTCACTGCCAAACCTGTTAAAGACCTATTTGACCATAAAAACCTGGTTGCCACAGAGTCAGAACCCAAATTCTCAGGGAGTGCGATCATAAATGGTGCGTTCAACTTAGGAATACAACAAGCCACCAGACTGATTTCAGAAACACCAGTGCCCAGTAAAGTAGCTACTGAAGCTGTTTTACACAAGGAAAGGGAAGAGGTGAGCCAGCAAATAAAAGTGAGCAGGGAGGTAACTCTACCCAATAAAACAAACCTGGGGAACATTTTGCCTTCTGTGGCTGCAAACACAGACCGTATCCTTGACAAAATAAACACTGAGCCCCAAGTCTCAAATTTATTCGCTAAAGAACCAATTATCGCTAACATAGGATCCATTTTGCAACATGAACCTGTCACAGCATCTGTATGCTCTGCACAGTATGGTACAAGCACGGTATCCGCAGCTGCCCAAAGCACAAAAAACACACAACAGCTCAGCACAGAAACTAAAATTCACAACAATAGTCAAACAATAGGAAACAATATCCATTTCCCTGGAGAAGGTCTCTCTTTGAGATTCTCTCAAGCACCAATTGTACCAAGTACGCCTACTGTTAATACTAACTTAGTGGGTACTACCATAGACACCAAACTACCTGACCTTTCTGTCAAAGCTACCAAATCACCCAACATTTCAGGCATCAAATCCCCTTCAATTATGACCTCCAATGTGCCCACAAAAGAGCCCCCAAAGCTAACCGACCCTAGTGAAAATATACCTTTCAACACACAGAGTAGCATATTATCCAGTAGCCAAGATAAAATTGTTCAAAAAGTAAGCTTCCACACAAAGTCAAGCAGAACTATAGTAGAGGCCATACAGACACGTGGAACCAGTCTCACCCCTGCTGCAGACGCAATACTGTCCACTCAAGTTAATACAGGACCTAAACTCCCCACTAATTATGACATTAACAGAGTCAGTGACTCAACAGTAGACACAAAATTGTATCCACAACCCACCAATGGAATAATAGGTTTATTGACTGGGAAAACACCAACAGAGCATCTTCCCAGTTTACCCGTTAAAACAGAAAACATTCAAACAAAAGGTGAGACTGAAATGAGACCAGCTTCCAATCTTTCACAAGGAAACACAGTACTGAACACCCCAAGCAGTGACACCAAACTGTCCAACAAACCACCCGCAGGATTGCTACCAGTCAGCAAGTCTTCGACAGACTTGGTTCCAACTGGACAACCAGGAGGTGTAGAGCCTATTCAGCGCAGCAGACCTGTTGTAGGAAGTGCTCAGGCTAAAAAATCCAGTTTGGGCAGCAATGTTAACAATATTCCTACCATTGAAACCAAAGTCCCTAACGAGCTTCATACAGAAGCTATTTTGCCTATTATTACTGACCCAGCAGCAAGTGCTAAATCATCTTTTAATACTGTGCAGGCTGACAAAACTACTGTACCGTCCAGCCCAACCATAAGGCACGTCACACCAAAAAGCCCTCAGCTTATATCAGACAGACCTGAGAGTCGAACTGCAACAAAGCCAGGCATCAATGCAGCACCTGTTTCTGGCTCTGTTGCTGAAACAAGAATCTACACAAACTCAAAAGCAGATGGTAAACAGATTGCCGGTCTTCTTGCAGAGCAAAGATCACCTGAGACATCTGCACCAGTTAATACTAAAACCACTGTAAAAGAACAGTCCCCTTACATCCAGCCAGCTCAAGTCAATAAATCTTTAGCAAGTCCTCTGACAAAAACTAAAAATGCTTTAATATCTAAGACTGAACCATCAATTTCCTCTTCCTCTGGTTATGTAGTGGCTAACATATCTAGTATAAGTGTAGAAAAGCACACAGTTGCAAGTCAAATCAGGTCTGGAGATAATATTCAAACCTCTGTGAGCTCTCAGACTGGAGAGAAACAGTTTAGACAATCTGTCATGGAAACCAAGAAATCTACTGAAACTATTGTAAATACTCAAACCGTCTCACACATTGATAACTATGCTACTACAAATATTCACCCCCTTGCTGAAGCTACCAGAGATGCAAAAGCAACTTTCAGCCCTTCTAGAGTAACTAAACCTTGGAGCACAACAAGAGCCTCCCCTCTACCCGAGCCAAGAGTGTGTAACACACCTATTTCAGCCTATACTCCAATTTTGCCCCAGTCCTATCAAACTCCCATCTCTTTAAACCATACTACAGAAACAAAACCGTTGCCAGTCATTATGAAAGACCAGATAAACCCTCCCATTATACCTCTACGAAATAATACACCTGTTGGTACTGTTCAGCCCTCTGCTAAGTCAATCACAGAGACAATTTCAAAACCAGACATTAAACCACCCACAACGAAGGAGGCTTCAGTCCTGACTAACAGTGCTGAGGTAAAAGAACATTCCCAAATGAACAATATAAACACAAACCAAGCAACAAATGTCAGTAAGGAAGGGAAACTCTCCTCACTGAACACTGGAACTAGCACTCCCATCCAATCTACTGATCCTATTTTAGATAGTAAACCCACTCTAAAGGTTCAGCCTCCCACTAAGCAGGTAAAATCAAGACCTTCCTCTGCCACTTTAGAAAGGAAACCCTCAGTTGTAAAAACAGATTCGTCAAAGTCTCACCCCGATCTGGTCCAGAGTAGCTCGCACACCGGTAATGTTCAGCCTCCCACAGCGCTACCAGTAGAGAACATATCCCCTGCAAAGCCAGCAACAGATACTGTCATGAAACCGTCCATAGTTAAAACCGCTTTGATTGACTCTGCCACTCCTGCCTCTCTGCCTCAGGCCTCAGTCTCAGTCAAAGCTCCATCCCCAAACAGAGGAACGTCACTGCCATCTCAGCAAAACACTGGACTCAAAGACAAGGACGTTCTGAGGACCAAAACTACAGCTGCTTTGAAGGAAGCCCCAGCAGTCGAACCCTCCACGAAGTCAGCGACATCAACTGCATCTTCAACTGCTGACAAGAGGACCGTTACAGCAGATACATCCCCTTCACCCATTGAGCCCAAAGCAGCCCAGAAGCCAAAAGGCCTTAAGGGTAAGCTCAGCGGATGGACACGGCTCAAGAAGCATATGGTCGTTGAGCCAGAGGAACCCCAGTTTCCAGAACCAGAGGCCAAATCTCAGGTTGACTCCAGTGGCAGTAACAAGAAGACAGATCAAGGTGGTGATGATAAGTCGGCAGCAGAACAAAGCGCCAATCAGGAGGTGGTTAACAACAATGGAAGTCCCAAGGCACTGAAGATGTGGGACGCCCTCCTCTTTCAAATGTTCTCTACCAAAGAGAAAATCATGCAACAGATCAATGCCAGCAAGAAAGATTCAGACAAGAAAAAGGAACCTAAAGACAACCAAGCAGAAGTTCCTTCTTTCGTCAATCGCCTGCCGATTTTGTTGTACAGCCCTCGCTTTGATGCCAGGAAGCTTAAAGAGGCAGCAGAGAAGCCGCTCTCGAAAATAGCAGCAGTGTTTGAAAAAGGGCTGATAAAACGCAGATCCCAGGACGAAGAACGTAAGGACTTTAACAGGAAAGCAAGAGGATTTGGTTCAAGGAAACCAACAGATACAGATGCGGATACTTGAACTGATGCGAAAGTGTTTGAGACTGATAAATGATAAGTGAAAGTAGAAAGATGATCTCAGATAGGTGGGGGAGCCTTAGCGAAGGAATCATAAGAAGAAACTTGAGAGAGAATTGACATAAAACCATTTGCACAATTACTTAATTTAATAATTAAATCAATTTTATAAATTAAGGGGAATTATTCTTAAATGGGAAAAATGATATAAAAAGTGTATAAAAGTGTAATGGATTCCTGCTCAGTCATCATCTACTTGAGCAAATACTGGAGCTAGAACTTAAACTGGGAGAGTAAAGTTTCACAAAAACGAAATTCATCCCCATGTCAAATTAACATATATATTTCTGATGTTTTCATCAGTTCTGGTTATTTAGTATGTATAGGTTGGTCAATATGTTTATAGCTTTTAAAGGTAAAAATCATTAACACAGGGTTAATACAGGTGTGGTATCTTTGCACTTTTAATAAATCAAATAAAGCTGTGACTTGAGAAAAATATGATTTAAAGAAAAAAAAATCATACTACGCAAGAATAGTTGATTAGATTTTTTTAATTTGATGATGACCTAGTTGTAGTGTTGAATGCATGCACTGTAGATATATTTTGATAGAGAAAAGGTTGTTTCATTTGTCACGCTCTATCTTTTTCTATTTTTCTAAATAATGTAAGGCTTTTAGTGCACACCGCTGGTAGGCAGTTTGTTATCACTGTAATAAATAGGGCTTTTACATTCCTGGAACAACAGGGCAGATGGATTTTGAAAGAAGGGAAACAAAGACAGATGAAGCATGAAGGTCCAGTCAGAACAGATTTAGGTTTCTGCAAGTCAAGTATGGATGGAAATGAAGAGTTGGATGTCTGGGCTTTCGATCAGGGCAAGAAACTACAACCACAAAGGCTGGTAGATCTTGTGGCTGGGCAATATGGAAAAATTATATTGAACACTTTTGTCTTGACTGGAATATTTCAACAACTATTCAGTGGATTGCCAATATCCTTATGCCACCATCAGGACAAAGTTATTTTTTTAAGCCATTGAGCTTTTTAGCAGAAACAGTTCTTAATTGTTTGTGTTACTGTGCATGGTAAATATTTGTTCTCTCAGCATCAGGTTGTGTTGTTAATGTGCTAGCTGGCTAACTAGCATCTTGAATCCCTCCTGTCGGTCGTCTGGTTTCCCTTTTTTAATAATACAGGCTATTGCTGCCTGCTGGTGTGGGGAGTTATTTCTTCTCACACAGGCACAGAACGTTCATACTAGTTGGCTGTTGTTTGTAGTCTTTATGGTGTGTTCAGGTGCAACTCTTTGGCCCTCATCTGCACTAGTTCTCCGATGTTGGTTTGGTGTGTCCAGGCCTTTAGATGGTGACCATAGTAAACTTCATACCTGCTAAACAGCATGTTAGCATTGTCACAGTGAGAATGCTGATGTAAGCATGTAGCTAAAAGCATCGGTGTTCCTCAGCACTGCCTCACAGAGCTGTTAGCATGGCTTTAAGCTCTAAGTGTTGTTTCCATTAGACTACACATGAATGCGACTGAATTCTCTAGTGTTTCAAAAAATTACTTTGGGAGACGATATTGCCTTGTGGTATCATGAGACCACCCCATCATACATTGCCCAGCCCTAATACAACCCAAGATTAAATTCCAGTTTCACCATATCACCAGTGTTGTGTGGAAACTCTGTTTTTCAGTTTCAGTGAAATACATAAAGTTGTGTGTATATATGTACTGAATGAGGCTGTTCCTCAGTTACAAAAAGTTGGAGATCTATGGTTTCCATCCAACACAGATGATACGATGAAAATATTTCCAGCCAGTGCATCAGGTTAACCTAGTGACTCTGTTGGTAGATTGTTATTTCCTGCCTTGTGATGAATCGTCCAGGACTTAGATAGCATTAGTACTGAGTTAAGACTGTGTCTAGGATGTAAAATAGGATATCAATAATTGATAAAGATGATTATAATGATGATGATGATGATGATGACGATGACGATGATGATGACGATGACGATGATGATGACGACGATGAGGCCTGCTGTAGGAAGACAGACTAACTGAAAACTGAGTGATAGCTGGAAGGGGGACAGATATTAGATGAAAGGTGTGATGTTTCACAGCTTTGGAGGATTTTGGTGCTGCAGTAGCAGATATTAGCATGTTGTTGTTATTTTGACGCTTTTTATCTCTGTAGAGTTTTTAAAATTGTTGTTTTCCACAAGGTGACCAGCATGATGTGGAATTTCTTTTAGGTGAGGGGGACTTTGTCCCTGTGAGCTGACCACAGCCCCGTTTATTACACTGATTGTTAAGCTAAAACATGTTTTTGTTTATTGTGTGATTCTGAAAAGGCATAAAGTTGACTGAGAAAATCTTGTCTCGTGCTTCTTTTTTTAATGTCAATGCTTTGATTGGCACTTAAACTATAGAGATAGCAAGTCCCAACAGAGATAGTTACACTGCAGATTGAGGAAGTGACACATCACAGCTGAGAAATCTTTTTTAAAGGATAATGTTTGTGTTCTTCTATATATTTTTAACAAATCCCATACAAATCCAATGTCAGTCAGAAATACTTAACTTCTTTTTATATGATTTTATATGAATAAACTTAAACTTCACACCAGTTTTTCAATTTCAAGTAAAGTTAAAACGAGGATTTTAACAGCAGAACTTAACCAGAATCAGTATCACTAAGTCTCTGAGAAGATAAGGCACATTTTAATATAATATTAATATATTAATATTAATGAATTAGTAAATCAGTAACTTATAATAATAATCACAATAAACAACAATTTAAAACAAATTATTAAAAAGGAGGATGAATGATAAACTGTAATCTGTCTCACCTGACTGACAGTTTGCATCCTCACTGCAGTCGCTGTCCACAGAGACCTTCTCGTATTTGCCGTGACCCGTCACCACAAACTTATATCTTTTTCCAGTTGAGCTCTCCTGGAATTAAATTCATGAAACGAGACAAACAGTCTGTGACAAATGCAAGTCAAACGATGGTACACTTTTTCACTCATTCTGGAGCTGTCCACTAATCTATTCATTGTGGTAAAGAATTCCTTTTTTTTCTGGGGTTTATCATAGGTCGCTCTCTCCTGACAGGGACTTGGCTCTTTCTGGTTGTTCAAAAGACTATTTAACACTTCCATCATACATGCAGACAGCTCTTTTGATGGGCATGGTGCTAGATAAAAAACTCATTTTAAAAGACTGGAAGACATCAAATCCACCATGCTTCAGAAACTGGCTGTGTGAACTTGTTTTGGTTATTCACATGGAAAAACTGATTTAATCATCCAAAATGTGAATTTAAATGTGAAGAATCTTGGGGTCTTATTTGGCAATATTTGGGCTCAATGAGTGCATCTGGATGAGGACCACACTTTGATATACATATCGATCAGCAGAATTTAGTGTGTGAATCCGTACCTTCCCTTCTCTTCCAGGAGATGTGTCACCAAAACTCTCCCATAAATTCTTCTTGTTTAAAACACCCCCAGGTTTCATATCCTGCAAACATATCAACATACATTACACAGTTTGTCATCTCAGCAGCCACGAGGGGGAAGACTTCACTGATTGCTCTGCAGAACAGAGCTGAGATGATTCACTCCAGATGACAAGAGGCTGGGTGTGGTTGCATGAAGCAGAGAGGAGCAGACAGGAATGCTGACTAAAAAGTTATGAAACTAAACTGAGATAGGGGAAAGAGAAGGAAGTTATCAGGCAGACAGAAAGGGGAAAGGACTGAAATGTTGACAGAAATGAACAGTTCTTTCCAGCCAACATTTGTATGTAGGCCCCATGTGGGTAGTAAACAAGCTGAAAAATGGGCCCTATGTGGGACTGTCCACAGGTTCCATAATGGCCTCTTACCAATTGCCCACATGGGTGGTTTTACTCAAGTTGTCCCCAGATAAGATGCCCATTTTGGGCCCATAGCCACTTGGTACTCAGGTAGCTGGAACATAATCCATGTGGGGCCCTCTTGGGTAAACCCACCCATGTGGGTAACTGGCATGGGGCCATTATGGAACCCATGGACATTCCCATATTGGTCCCATTTTTTAAGCTCACTTACTAACCACATGGGGCCCACATACAAATGTCGACTGGGTTCTACATCTCATGTCACAGAGCTGAAATTTGTTGGAAAAATGATGAGCTCAGGGGTAAAGTGCTTTGTGAATCGTGTCAAACATCAAGCAACACAAGAAGGTAGTCATTAGGAGACAAGTTTGACACAATCGTGGTCATTCAGGATAAAATTCGGACTTACTGCCGGTCTGGAGGGCGAGCTGCACCTGCTCCCGTCTTCACTTCCTCTCACCCACTGATTGATGAGACCAGCCACACCGACTTTCAAACCATCTGCATCCTAAGACAAAGAAGAAACATTTGTCATTACTGTGGACACAAATCATTTGTTTTATGTTTACTTGCATCTATTTCATATAACCTAAATATTAGTTTGAATTCTATATTCATCAAGAAAGCACAGCAGCAGAAAACGTCAAATTATCCCTGATGCAGGACTTCACACAAAATGTAGTTTAGTTTCCACGCTGCTACTGCCAACACATTCTCACAAGGTACCCTGGGTCTGTTGGTTGTTGACATTCTGGGACAAGGTGTCAAGTTCTGCGTGTTACACAGATTGTCTTCTTTCAAAATACACTTCCATTTTCACAGGAAAATTTACAGTATCTTTAAAAATTGACTAAAAAAAAGAACAAGGTTTGCCTTTAGAATCTTACAGGATGCGAACACCGCTCTTTTGGGTTTAAGTCTGTGTTTGTTGGACCCATCCACCACCCCTTTTGCCCGCCTCAACTTTCGTCCTTGTCTCACCACGTTTCCCCCTGATATCACTCATAGTTGGTTTCTGACACTACAAGTCACTGCCCAAGCGCTGAATTTCAACGACTTCGGAGAGAGACTGGGCTCTTTCCTCCTGTACACAAATTTTTGAATCTTTCTGTCTTTCTTTCTCTCTTTTTTTTAACCAAATCAAACTTTAACTTCACTCAACATTTAACTTTCTTTCAAATTAGCTGAGTTATTCCACAGTTTTTCCAGGTACCCCCTGGTAACTGCAGAAGTACCCTCTGTGGTACTGGTACCCCTGGCTGGGAATCTCTGGGTTGAGGCACATTCAAACGGGGCGATAACAGTCAGCAGTTACTGTTTCAGTCACCATGAATACTTTGCAAATGTTCTGTGCTTGCTCTCAATAAAAGTTAATGAAGTCTTCATTTAGACAACTGCAAAAGTAAATTTATGTATCAGTCATGCTGTAAAAGTTAACTTCATCATTTACCTTGGATGGTGTGACTGAGATGGCGGTCTGGTTCCAGGCTTCCCCGGCCTCAAACAGGTTCTTCTTGGAGGAGACGGGTTCACTGGGACTCGTCAGGTCTGTCAGCGCCTGGCTGCCTGATCTGCATTCCTTTGAGGAGACCTGTGAAAAAAAAAAAGCGAGATTCAGGAAGTTTAGATTTACCACTGTGATAGCTTGAGACACAGAATTTTGAAGATCTTCAACACTTAAGTTCACTTTGGCCAGTAGTGAGGTCTGCAGTGATGAAGATGTCTGTCTTTTGTGATTATGAGCTGGTTGTCCAGAATAAAATCGCAGTTGGCAGTTTGTGTAGGTACTGTCAGGGTTTACAAAACATTCATTTCCAAATACCTGCTTATTGCTCAAGTCAATACAAGGAACATACCAATGAAAAAAAGAAGGTAACGAAATGGGGTTTTACCTCGAGAGCATGTGTGTATTGTTCCAGTTTCTTGTCAATCTTGGAGACAGCAACAGGAGGCAGCGTCTTCTTTATGTTGCTGGTGCTTTAAAAGAATCGATAAACATTCAGGTTAGTCATGATGCAGGTACAGTACAGGCCAAAAGTTTGGACACACCTTCTCATTCAATGCGTTTTCTTTATTTTCATGACTATTTACATTGTAGATTCTCACTGAAGGCATCAAAACTATGAATGAACACATGTGGAGTTATGTACTTAACAAAAAAAGGTGAAATAACTGAAAACATGTTTTATATTCTAGTTTCTTCAAAATAGCCACCCTTTGCTCTGATTACTGCTTTGCACACTCTTGGCATTCTCTCCATGAGCTTCAAGAGGTAGTCACCTGAAATGGTTTCCACTTCACAGGTGTGCCTTATCAGGGTTAATTAGTGGAATTTCTTGCTTTATCAATGGGGTTGGGACCATCAGTTGTGTTGTGCAGAAGTCAGGTTAATACACAGCCGACAGCCCTATTGGACAACTGTTAAAATTCATATTATGGCAAGAACCAATCAGCTAACTAAAGAAAAACGAGTGGCCATCATTACTTTAAGAAATGAAGGTCAGTCAGTCCGGAAAATTGCAAAAACTTTAAATGTGTCCCCAAGTGGAGTTGCAAAAACCATCAAGCGCTACAACGAAACTGGCACACATGAGGACCGACCCAGGAAAGGAAGACCAAGAGTCACCTCTGCTTCTGAGGATAAGCTCATCCGAGTCACCAGCCTCAGAAATGGCAAGTTAACAGCAGCTCAGATCAGAGACCAGATGAATGCCACACAGAGTTCTAGCAGCAGACCCATCTCTAGAACAACTGTTAAGAGGAGACTGCACGAATCAGGCCTTCATGGTCAAATAGCTGCTAGGAAACCACTGCTAAGGAGAGGCAACAAGCAGAAGAGATTTGTTTGGGCCAAGAAACACAAGGAATGGACAGTAGCTGATTGGTTCTTGCCATAATATGAATTTTAACAGTTGTCCAATAGGGCTGTCGGCTGTGTATTAACCTGACTTCTGCACAACACAACTGATGGTCCCAACCCCATTGATAAAGCAAGAAATTCCACTAATTAACCCTGATAAGGCACACCTGTGAAGTGGAAACCATTTCAGGTGACTACCTCTTGAAGCTCATGGAGAGAATGCCAAGAGTGTGCAAAGCAGTAATCAGAGCAAAGGGTGGCTATTTTGAAGAAACTAGAATATAAAACATGTTTTCAGTTATTTCACCTTTTTTTGTTAAGTACATAACTCCACATGTGTTCATTCATAGTTTTGATGCCTTCAGTGAGAATCTACAATGTAAATAGTCATGAAAATAAAGAAAATGCATTGAATGAGAAGGTGTGTCCAAACTTTTGGCCTGTACTGTATATTACTGTTAGAAATCTGCTGTTGCACAAGAGACACATACTTTAAAAATAACACAGAATAACAGATGAAGCTTTATTTAAGCAGCATGTCTAAATTTAATTTTTTATCATTAAGAACATTTCCAAGAGGTGGAGCAGCACTGGAGACAGACTTGATGCATTACAATGCTGCTC